GAGTATAATACTACCCCCCAACTTTATGGATGATTTTATGGATTAAATTTTACGTATTATACTTGAATAAATTCGGTAGTCTTTTTGTAGTACTTTCTGATGAAATACCTCTGCAGAGTTTTATCCTTTACAAGTTTATTCCTTAACTTTGACTGATCTTTATGACATGAACCAAACATTTAGAATCATGTATAGATTATTTTACAGGGATGCTGATAAATACTTTGTGCCACAATAAGGGTTTAATCTTTGTGGAAGATTAGAATGAAACAAAACACCTAAAGTTTACAGATTCTTGTTTTATCCTGTTTTATATTTTAAATTCAAGTCAATTTCTATGTTATCACAGAGACTAGTCTCTGCTGACTTGTGCAAAAACAAATGTTAGCAATTGCATGACCTTTGTTCATAAATGTTTTGTGACAGATCTCTAAAAGCAAGGCTTTTTTTAGAGATACTTTTCAAAATATATATTTTTGATGCTGGAAACACCCAGAAGACCAGGAGCAAGCCTCAATCTTCTGTAAGAAACTGTTTTTGAATTGGTGGCAGGTTTTTGTACTTTTCAAGGATTTCAGTGAATGCTGGGGCAACGGTGGACTTTGTGCAGAAACACGGGTCAATGAGACAAGAGTAAACATTACAACATAGACAGAAATCAACACACTGAGCTTTATTTAGCTTTTCTCTATCTTAACATTTAATAATGGCAACAGGTGCACAAGAAGGCAGCAAAATGAAAAAAATAGCAATAAATAATTTTTCTATATTTAAGTTGACACTGCTCATTAAGTGATGAAATGACCGCCGTGTTTTGGAGTTAAACGTGACTTTAAATGTTTTTGATTTATTGGATAAAAGACGACTGAATATCCTCAGAAGGTCATCAGAAAACAAAGAGATTTATGTGAAACAAAGGATGAAGGAGGGGGGATTAAGGCAGAGACGACCAGCAGGGGTTTAATCTGACGTCGATTACACAAACATATGCAGACGCGACAGTTGGCTAAATCTACTGTGGTAAAGAGCACACACACATTTATATAGAGACACAAATAAAACCACACACATAAGCTTTACATCAGTTGACTAAATAGGTTGTGGGTGGGAGGTAGTGGTCTAAAAGTACTTTTATTTCAGTGTGTGTGTTTGTGTGTGTGTGTGTGTGTGTGTACACATACCGCCTCTCTTCTCAGCTGGACGAAAAACTGTTTGCACTTGAAGGAAATTTTCACTATTTTCAACCTGGAGGTCAGAAAAGCAGAAAAAAAGGCAGAAAATTAAAGTGTCTTCTTTCTAAACTCGACTTCTTTCAATGACATAAAGTAGACATGATGCTTCTTAAGCCCCGAGGGGTTTTCTTGATGTTTTTGCTCATAATACCATGCTTAAATGTAACCAAGTGTGTCTCAGCATTTACTACCTCACTTGGGGGGCTCACTTTACCCCATTTCCTGGCTTTGTGTTTTTTCTGAATGATCCAAGGAGGACAGAACACTCGTCAGTTCTGGACTGAGCAGTCTTATGAATGAGGCTGTCATTTGATAGAGGGGTTTATGACAAATGAATTGACAGATGTCAACAAGGGAAGGTTTGTCCATCCAGCTTTACATGCTGAAGCCTGAGACTGACCAAGCGCCAGAGGAGAAGGAAGACCACCAAACTGTAGTTATTTTATTTTTTTAACTTAAAACCTTATTTGTCTGCTCAGTCACAAATATTGTGACGTAATAGTTCAGAAAACATAAAAGAAAATAGTGAAAACTGAGCGGGTTGAAAAATATGACCCAAACAAAATATAAAGATACTCCTAAAAAGTACACAACAAAATATATTTAACGGCTAAAAAAGTGGATTTTGCATCATTTGTCCCCTTTAAGATGAAAACGTTGCATCTGAGTGGCTCACAGTAGACGTTTGGCCATGTTTGATGAAATTATCAGCAGAAACACCTCATTCAAACTGTCTAGCACAGTAGTGGAGGGCTGATGGATGGGCTTGTTTTGCAGCCATAAAATCATCTTTGTCTACAAAAGTATTCTGGAGTCAAATGTGAGGCCATGTGTCGGACAGCTGAAGCTCGGCCGAAGCTGGGCCACGCAGAAGGGCAACGATCCTAAACGCAGCAGCAAACCCACAACAGAACAGCTGACAAAGAAAACGAGGCGTCGCAATGACCCAAGGTCCAGACCTCAGCTCAGTGAAACAACGCTGTGAAGAAGAGCGGGACAAAACTCCTCCACAACCACGTGTGAAACAGACTTTCTCTTTATTAAATAAGAGAACTGTTATAATCTCAAGGGGATGGAAATGCTTGAGACCTAACGTTAGAACCAGTTTAAAGGAACGGAGTACTTCAGGAATTAAATTATAGAATAATCTGGAAGATGACATTAAAAATGCCAGATCAATATGTATATTTAAGAGAATGATAAAGGTTAATTTGCTGGAGAAATATGTAAATGTATAAATTTTTGTTCAAGGAGTTAAACTTTTATTATTTTATCTTTTTTTTGTTTTTTTGTAAACTGTAGATTATTTTGATTGAATTTATTTATTTGAGGAAAAAGGGGCAGCTATAATAAGATTCATTTTCTTTTTCTGCTACCTTTCATTTAATTTATGATTTGTTTTTTGTTGTTTTTTGTTGAATTTATGTTTTTTGTAAATTAAAATTATTAAAATATTATGAGTTGGTTGATTATATTTTGCAGCTTATGTACAAGGCTCATAATAAAATGTTGCCTTTAAACATCCAGTTATATTT